TCGGCAAAATACTTCTAAACAACTGACACACTAACATGCCCCGGTTCAAGGACGAAAGAACATGGAGACTACTAAAATAAGAATGTAGAAAAAACAAAAGGACTGCTATTTTGTAGTTAAAAGTAGTCCAGCAGATTATTGGAGGGGCAGGTATTAAAGAGAGTAATGCCACCTTCGCTTAATGGATCAGTCACTCTCGTGCTCCGAGATGTGATTCTTCAGAATTTGGTAAAAGTTGCTTTTTTACAATATCGCTCGGTGGACTCGAAGTTACTCATCAGATGAAATTAAGGAAAAATACTCTACACGAAGAGTAGTGAGCGAGTACTCACACTAGTGGCCTAACTCATGCTTTACTTATCAAAATCCATTGCCGTACCATCAGGTTTAGGTCACTGCGAAACTTCTTAGTTGTCCCTTTAGAGATCGAAGAAATCTATGTATGGCTTGTCGACGCCATCAAAATTCCAAACATGGTGTATTTTCGCATGATGAAGATTCTTCTAGTCTACTGGACATCATGGGAAAAAATACCAGTCAATTTTGATGATTTACATCGATATAAAAGAGACTGAATATGCGTAAGAAGCAGCACATCTGCTGTAGCTATAAAATAATACGACATAGCGGTTTTAAAGCGCTTTACAAAAAAAGATCTATCTTTCTAGAATCATGAGCCATCTCGTAAACTAGCACTTTTTAACGACTGCTTGTAAATATCGAAAGCACTTTCTTTAAAATTTGACTGTGTACTTCCTTTTGTATGTAATTTAGGGATAGATGCGCTTAGCCATCTGATTCGGCGAAAACGTTTTCTCACGGTATTAAGCCGAAAGCCTACGAAATAAAAATTAAACCTTAATTTAGAAATTGGAGAATAGCATAACTAATGTCATATTCCATTATGGAAAATTGTCAAGTTAAGAGGCAACTAACCAGACTTTGTAATTTCTCTCTAATATTTGTGCCAGACAACGAAAACACGTTTCCAGTTAGCACTCGGAACTCCTATAGGTATCTTTTCTGAATATCTTAAACAAGAGATCTTATGCTTGAGTCGAAAGTAATATGGCAAGCTTAGATCTGCAGCGATCGACAACTTTTTGGAATAATTTTACAGAAAAACGTCAAATGAAATCTAACCATACTTTTCAATAATTCAACGGTTAAAAATAATTAGGTGATTGAGAGCGACATTAGGTGAAGTCCATTCAAACTTCCTTTATTCAACTTTCGGCCCGGCGCAAAAAATCACAAGTCTATTATTTTTGCCGTAAAGTTGAAGTTTGTTTGCGTTATTAATTCCGGAGTTTCGTAGGCAACATAGTCCTTGCAAGCTGATCCATGTCCATAACTGTTTTTAAACATTTCTTGTGCAGTGTTTTAAATGTTACGAGAATAAATTATATAGCTGATTGGAAAGTTGCAATGAATAAAAGGCGAGAAAGAGTTTCTTAGCCAAAATATTTGATTTCAAAAGCGATTGTGATATTTGAGGAATTAACCACGAAATCATCGTTCAAACATAT